TATCCTGCCACTTGCCCCTATGTGGAGAAAACTGGATCCTTGGTTGGAGTTAGCTACTGCCAAGCTCTGAGGTTTGGTTGTGTTGTCTAAACTGATGACCTCTTAGTGTGTGCATGTATGCTTTTGTGTGTATGTGTGTGTGTGTGTGCATTACAAATGCATGAATGTACATGTGTCCGTGTGTGTGTGTGTTGTGGGCCTTGCTTGTGTTAGGTAAGGGTTTGACTGCTGAGGTACCCAGCAATAGCTTTTAGCTCTGGCTTTGAGATCCTCGTCTGGCAATCTTTCCTCTCTTCCCCACCATTCTTCCTGTGGTGGCTTTTGAGCAACCTATCTTTTCTGAGACCAAGTCTCACCACATAGCCTTAGCCCCACAGGCCAGGCTGGCCTCTGATGGTCAGCATTCTCCCGTCTCTGCCCCCAAGCACTAGAACTGCCGGCAGGTACCACCACACCTCACTAACAGGTCTGTTCAGTTTGCCTCTGATTTTCCTTTTGGGGAAGTTGCTGTGCATGGCTCAGGAGCTCAGAACCCCAGTCCTGCCCTGAGTGAGACCAAAGGGTTGCTGATGGCAGTTTGGGTCGGTTTATACTGAGCCAATTCTTAAAAGTTTTTGTTAAAAGGAGTAGAATATGGGGGGGTGGAGGACTGGAAAGATACACTAGTCTGATCTATTGCTGTACCCTCTGCCCCTGAGAAGGGAAGCCACCATCCCACCCAGCATTGATTACAGCCAAGTGGTCCTGCACTTGTCCACGGAAGGCCTTCACTGTCGATGTTCACGAAAGGCACTTCAGTGAGAGTGAAGGTACAGTTCTTTGCCCCTTATCGCCTTGTGTAGTCTTTCTGATTGGTGAGGGGGCCTTTGAACCGTCAGCCTGCCCAAAGCCCTCCCGAGTGTTAGAGCTGAACCCAGACCTCCAGGCCCACAGCTTCTGGGGAGACAGACAGACAGACAGACAGACAACAGAGTGTCACTAGGTCCATGCTGTGATGAGTAGGGACCAATGGCGGTGTCTGCTGGCCATGACCGTGGGTAGTAGTGGTGACGAGCGGCTGCAGAGCCCACTCCTCGTTAGCCTTCCATAAGACGGGTGGCAGCCGGCTATCACCTTCTCGTTGATGGAGGGTGTGTGCCTTGAGAGAGTGATGCTAGGCCCCTCTCCATGAGTGTCTCGAAATCCCCTTTCTTCCCGGGCTCAGGATGCCATCCACCTGAAAGCGCTGAAAAGATTAATGAGCGAGACATAAAGGCAAGAGCTGCCCCGAGCAACAGCTGTCTCGCACCAACCACGGATAATTAGACAAATGAGGCAAAGTGGCTCCCAACCAGAGGGGACTTTGGCCCACACTGACAGCCTCCCCTCTCTGGGTGCATGCCCCTCCCTTCCAACACTCAGACTGTCCCCTTTGGCTATCTGGACGCCATTGTCCCAGGCCTGCTCTTGGCAGTGACTGTGGTCTTGGCCCTGAGAGCTGAGCTAGGCTGTGACTGTCTATGGCAGCCCCTACTCTCCAGGAGGAGCAGGGTAGAGGGCAGGGTCGAAGAAGATGCTGCCAAGAATCTAACAGTATTTGTAACAAACGCAAGGGCTCCTGGCAAGAGATCCGGGGAACTTTCTTGATCATAAGTGGTGTCTCTTAAGCTCTTTAATTACAGAGGATTAAGCAGGAAGTGGAGTGCGGGACTAAAGGAGTAATGACAAAAAGGAGGCGAAGCAGAAAAACCCAATTTCCTTCCTAGAAGGGGGAAGTCCTCCATTTATTTAAATGAATTGCAGAGAAAAGAATGAAGTGTGGCGGTTTCCCTAGCTCCAAGTTCAGTGGGATTTTAAAGAACTGTGTATCTCCTTAGCAGGACATAAGGCGGGGTCTTCAGCTCATCTGCAGAAAGGGGACCTTGTACTCCTCCACTGAGGTGCAGGCATATGCCTTCCCTTCAAATGGCTGGCTGGTCCAGTGCCTGCCTGCCTTCTTCTCCACATCGGCTTCCGCTTAGCCTGCCTCACATTTCCATTCGGCACCTCTGGTTACCTAGACACGGCAAAGAAAAATTGCAATATAGAAAAGCAGCGGGCCATGTGGCTCCATCAGTTCTGCCTGGAGTTGCAGCATCCTTGCCTTCCATGGTTCCTAGCTGGGTGGGGAGAGGATGGGGCCCAGTCACCTACCTGAAGGAGCTGTGTGGATACCTGCTTGTGTAATTGGGACAAGCCTAGACATGAGTAGAGTTAACCTCAGGCTGTAGAAAGTGATGGGGAACAAGGACATGCCCCAAGGGTAGATAGATAATCATAGTAGCTGTTGTCCAGTACACGGTGGATGTGGGATTCAAAAGTGCTGTCCCGGTAGGACCCTAGTCATATTTTGTGCTCACTAACTAGCTCTATCTATAGTGTCTGTCTGGGGTCCTGTTTGCGTGACATAGTACCCAGAATCCAGGTCAAGGCATCCTCTAGCTGAATCGTTGGCATCATCTTTGGAAACTAATAGTATATCAAGGTTCAGAAGAAGGCAGGTAGGGGACAGACAGTGGGGAGGACAGGAACTAAGTCCCCTGTGCACCTTGTTCCACATCCAGCACCTCACGAGGTACCTTGGCCAACCCTCATGACAGTTTTGGCAGGCAGGCATTGTTGTTATACAGATGGGAAAAGTGAGGCTTCAGAAAGCTTGACCATGGGAGGTAGACGCTAGAAGGAGAAAACATGGGGCCCTAGACATAAACCTGGCCCAGCCCCATAGTCCGCAGGTTCAGCAGCACGGGCCAAGGTGTGTGTCCCGGTTAGTGTTAACTGCCAACTTGATTCAGCCTAGAGTCATTGAGTCTCATTGAGTCTCATTATCAGGTCGTTCTGCGGCGTGTCTGTGAGGGGTTGTCTTATTATTAACAGATGCAGGAGGGCCTAGCCCATCGTGGGTGGTTCCATCCCTAGGCAGATCGTCCTGGGTTATATAAGAAAGCTAGCTAAGCCTGAGCCAATGAGTGAGTCAGAGAGCAAGCCAGCAAACGGGGTTCCTCTAAGGTTCCTCCTTCCTTTTCCTGCCTCGACTTCCCTCACTGATGAACTATGACCAGGAAGTATAGGCCAAATGAATCCTCTCCTGCCCTAGGTTGCTTTCAGGCAGAATGTCTTATTACAGCGACAGCACGAGGCTCTAACACAACACTGTGCGATATCTGCTTCCTCTTGTAAAAATCTGGACAGGTGTGCCCACGCCCTGGGTCCCCAGAGGAGTAAAATAAGATCACGTAGATGATGGCACAGGCCCTCACCTCCAAGTGGCAGGAAATATTCTATGGTCTCACACAGGATAACCACGTCTTGAACCCTGGCAGGCAGACCACATCCTAACCCCGCAACCCCTGACCTCCAACCCACACTGGAGTGTGGATTATAAGGAGATGCTCGGGCAGACATCTGATGAACCATCACCCTTAGAATTATTTGTGGTTAAGCTTGGTACACTGAAGCTTAGTCCACAGGCCTCAGCAAACAGGGCTAAGAAGGACAAGAGAGTGACCTCCCTCCACTGTGCATGATAGATCTTATTCGCTAAACATTTCTGCATGCTTGAAATGGTTTTTTTCAAACATGTACGACCAAGGGCTTGGGAGATGGCTGGGACAGTAAAGGACTTGCATGAGGACCAGGGTATGAGTCCCCAGCACCCAGGCAGGCATAGAGGCCCACATATAATCCCAGCATGTGGGAGGCAGAGACAGGGGATCCCCAGAGCAAGTAGTCCAGCTATGCCAGCCTATTGTCAACATCTGGGTTCAAGCAGCAGACCCTTCGTGAATACATAAGGTGAAGAGATCAAGGAAGACACTTGGCATCAACCTTTGACCATGCACAATTCGCAACCACATTCGACCACATGTACTTGGACTCACTCACATGGGAACCCGTGTGCATGTACAAAAAAAAAAAAAATTTTAACCATGCCTTGCTCCGAGCATGATGGACGTTCCGTTAGTACAAAGAGCTAGTCAGACAAAGAGGACAGGAGTTAAACATCATCCTTGGGCATTCATCATGTGCCACGTTGTATTGCTAAGATGATCTGTGTCTGCAGCTGTCTGGCCTGCTCTGCGCATTATGTGCCCCCGTGTCTAGCACAGTGCTGGGCACGCAGTAGATACTCAAAGAAGGTGACCGTCATGTACTGGACTGAGTAAGCAACATAGTAAAAAAAAAAAAAAAGGCTGAGCTCAAAACAGCAGCGCCCCATCTAAGACTACAAAGCAGGTGCTCCGTTCCTTGATCGCCACTGTCCTTAGCCACAGGGAGGAGCAGGGCTGGCCATGAGCACTAGAGACACTTATGTTCCGAGACTCTGAAGGTGGGTTAGAAGCGTGCTGCCTCCCGATTCCAACCGAGACACACTTTCATCCCCACAAATTAGGCTTCTCCATGCTCACGTAATGGGATCCCAAATAACCCATTGCAAACCCATCTTTTATCACGCTTGCCCCTTGGAACGCATTTCAACTACTGGCCATTAAAAACAGGCCATTTCACAGGGCTTTAATGATGACACTAATAACTGTGGATTTTTGTCTCCCAGAGCCCTGATGAGCCGAGCTGGGGAGTAAATTACGAAGCTAACTTTTATGTGCATGGTTTATTGATCTTTGAGCTTCAAGGGAACTCTACCAGCCCCTATAGCCTGACAGTCCAGATTAGCTTTTCATCTATGTAATTGGGCCACCAGGGCACAGTTAATTTTTAATTTATATTAATAGGAAGACAAAGAACACAGTGCGCCTTCTCTGCATTAAAGTAATGGACATATCAAAACATCCTACCTGGTAATTATACATAAACCACCCTTCCCACGACCCAGTGAGGGTTAGCTTGCTGACTCACTGTGTATTTCACCGTAATGTAGCATGAGAAAGTTCACGACTGCCGTGAATATTCGTGCCACCGTGGGCAGAAGGCCAGTCCATCACTAAGCGGCCAGCACTTCAACCCATGTTTGGTTTTAACAGGTGAAAGTCATGCTGCGTATCTGTTCCACGTCAGCTCGAGATACCTCAGAATCCAGCTCTTTCCTGAAGGTGGATCCCCGGAAGAAGCAGATCACCCTGTACGATCCCCTGACTTGCGGAGGTCAAAACGCCTTCCAGAAAAGAAGCAGCCAGGTTCCTCCGAAGATGTTCGCCTTTGATGCGGTTTTCCCTCAGGATGCCTCTCAGGTGGGTGAATGTCCCCTCCGTGCTCCTGTAGTGTTGATTAAGGAAGCGTGAGCTGGTGGGCGGGGTCACGAGAGGAGACCTTGGCCTCATTGGGCAGAGCAGGTGTGCTGGGATTCCAACAAGTTGTATCCTTGGAGGGCTGGAAGAGATGACTTAGGTGCTTACCACACAAGCATGAGGATCTGGGTTCAGATCCCCAGCTCTCATGCAGCGAGTTATGCATGGTGGTGCACACTTGTGATAGGGTCCTTGGAACTTACTGATTTGCCCGTGTGTGTGCACCCCTGCACACAGAGAGACATGCATAGACAGACAAACACACACAATTTAAAACACGTGCCTGGGGAGAAGGAAAACCAAGGCAGTTATTGGTAAGAAACTAACAGGAAAAGTTGGAGATTACTGCAATGAAGTGCTCTATGACTGACCCTTAGGACTCCACTCCCACCTGGCCTTCGGATGGCCAAAGTGTTCCAGGGAACTGGATTAAAGTCTCATACCTGTGGAGTGGGGAAGTCAGGACTATAGTCCCAGTAAGGAAATGGAGTGCTCGGTAGGGAAACTGAGGTTGAAGCACATCCTGTGGCCAGGATCCGTGGAGAAATGTGCAACAGAAGACCCGGAGATCTCAATCATGTGCTGCTGCTTGACCAAGGAAGGCCTTGGGTTCACCCCTCAATACCAAACGTAAGCGACTATATTCATAGGTGAATACAGCACATTACAGACAGGCGGTGGCCCGTTTCGCTTGTGTTGTAGCACCAGGACCTATAAACTTCCTGATAAACTTCAAGCGCTTCCCAGGATTTATATAAAACCCTTCACAGGATGATAGTTAAGGCTACAGCTGACCTGAGCATCCTGGCACCAGTGGTCACCGTTTACAGCCCGTTAATTTAGTCCACGTTATATGTGATTGCAGGGGATACTGGTGTTTGTGCGACTTGTTTTCTTGCATCAACAAGCCATAGCGCACGTAGGCACCGTTTATTAAGAAGCTGAACATCGGTTGCCTGGGTTTTATCATAGGAATATAAAGTCTTTTGTGATTAAGCTTTACAGTTTCTCTGTTCGTTTCAGTTTTTATGTCGCACCACCCAATGGGCTTGGTAATTTAAACCTGACACCGGGGCTAATAAATAGCCTACAAATAATTTAATTAACAAGGGTAAAACTTTTCAAAAGCTATCTGGGGAAGTTGTGAGGATTCGAAAGCACACCCTAAATTAAGCCTGGACTATTAATGAGTTTTAGATTTATTCCAGAAAAAAAAAAAAAAAGGAGCCATTTTTATTGCTTGTCTTTGTTTACACTTCTCACTTGGTTCCCAGGCTCAAGATACTCAAAGCTGCACTGTCACAGATTTCAGAATGTTCTGGTTTGCTCAGGTGTCTGATAGTATAAATTATATATTTTATATATATAAATAATATATATAATTTATACTGTATATATTTATACTATATATATCCTTTATATTATATATCCTATATGTAATATACAATTTATACTCTATATATCTATTATATATATTGCAAGAACTTTCATATATTAAGCCATGGACTCTCCCTTGAAATCTTCTGGGTAAAGAAGGGCATTTTAAATCCTTTTCAGACCACAGACAAGAAACTGAGACTCTAATTTCCTGTCCTAAGCAGAGTCCTTCCCCAGACCCCACCACTTCCCCATTAACTGTATTGTATCCTACTCAGTACACTATGTCTTTGACCTGCCAGGATTTTATCTATTATTTCCTAGCAGCAATATGTCATTGGGCAGGTCATTCAGCTCTCTGGGTCTCAATGTCCTTATATGCCAAATAGCTACACCTCACTAGGCTGTTATGACAGCAGGTGCTCAGTAGACATTGTCTGTCTTTATTATTATGTCATCGTGACTGTCAATCTGATACCCTGGTAGTAGCCAGCTCAACCCCACGGGGTCAGCACCCCTTAAGCCTCAAGGCACAAAATGGGTAAATGTGGCAGGATGGCTTTGTCTGGGTCACCTGTTCTTTCATCTGTATTGTTAAGGTAGATCTAGCAGGCTGGAGTTTGTGGCCTGAGTTTGTGGACATGGCAGCTGCCAGGGCCTAGCTATGCTGGCTCAGAATTGGGTTAACACTGAAGTTTCCACTGTATGCTACCGGCCCAGACTCAAGAGCCACTCTCAGGTCCTTGCCTGTGCAGCAGCTTTTGCTGTGGTGACCCCACGCATCTGAGAACTCTTTCTTCCTGATTCTAAGAACATCATCGTCTTCCTGGCCCTGAGTAACAATAAGAATGATCCTGTTCCTTCTTGCCCTTAGGCGCCATCCTTGTGACCCTGGAGCAGCCTTGTGGGTAGCTTTGGCTGCCTACAGTTGGTGGAAACTTTTGCTAGAGATCTGGCTTAGGGATAGAGGGGGAGGACTCAGCCCTGTGGGAGAGTGAGACCTTGGCCAGAGCTGTCCATGTCATGGCAGTGTGCTCAGGGAGGCCTTCCTGCCTCTCTGGACTCACAGGAAGGGACAGTGGAGGGTTTCCAGGAGGTCACTGTCAGCCATGGTCAAATCTCTGTTCATCTCTTCTGTCTGAACAGCTAGGCAGAAGCCCCCACAAGGGAGGGTGTGGGCCTTCCTGCACCCCATGAGGTCACTCCTGGGTCTCCTCTGCACCTTGGCCTCTACCGGTGACTCCATTGTTGGTCTGTTCGGCATAGAACCAAAATTCTCCCTGATGACTTATGGCTCTCGTAGTTCATATTATGTGTAGCCAAGGTGGCTGGCAGTCTCCCGACCCCCACCTCTTTTCATGCTGGAAGGCAGGCTCACAGGCAGCAACTTCTTTCTGCTCCAGTCTCAGCTTTCCTGCAGAACTGGCTCTTGTTGCCTTGGTTCTATAAGATCTCGTGGTCCTCACATAGCTGCATCCCTCCATCCCCTTGGCTGAGGGGGACTCCTGAAGAGCTGCTGAGGCGACCACCCCTGAACAATTGACTATTGTCGAGAGTGTGGTTTTTCAATTTCAGTTTGGGAGAGAAAATTGATTTTTCGAACACTTAGATCCATTGCGCAGCAGCACTGTGGAGCTGAATAGCCACATTCATGGCCTGGGCTGCTTCCTTTCAGATTCCCACTGGGAGGCACATTGCTCTGATGGCAGCAGAGCCCCAGGGTCTGACGGCTGTCGGGGCCTCCATGGGCTCTGCCGCCAGCCCTGAGACAGAAGTGAAGGCAAGGCAACGAGACATGGCCAGTAATTCTGTCCTCCTGCTGCTGGGACAGTCTCAGATGCCGACTAGAGATTTTCCAGATCCCTGGGTGGTCCACACACCTGACTGTGTACCTTTAGTTTGCAGCATGTGCTGTCACTGAGCGTCAACGGAGAGATGCAAAGAGATGATCAAGACTGAAATAATCCCACCGACGATAGGGCACACTCAGCTAAGGAATAGTAATAAATAACACACTGATGAGGGGCAATTGGTGCCCTTTACAGTTGTGTGTGTGTGTGTGTGTGTAGAAACGGGGGCTTTGAGCAAAGAGAGAAGGGGCGGAGAAAAAGCAGATGTCCATTTAGAAGTTCTTGATGCTGTCAGAACCGAGGGTCCAGGGTCCACCCCTTTCTACCGCAGCCTTACCTTCTGTAAGGCTGGAGAGTGCTAGCAGTTCGTGGAAGGGAGATTTGTCGTCTGTAAGTCTTCACACACAGGCTAAGCAAAGGGTGGAAGGTCCCTAAGGTTTCTGGGCCCCTCAGAATTCTGTGGCAGAGGCTCACCCATCTGGGAATGTGGTGACGGTAGGGCTCCACGCCCCAGGAAGGCATACTCGCTTCTGTGCCATCGAGGTGCCATCGAGGTGCCTCTCGGTGCCACACCGTGCGTTTACCACCAGGCCTCCTCTTGTATCTTCCAGGCTGAAGTGTGCGCTGGAACTGTGGCCGAGGTGATCCAGTCTGTGGTGAACGGGGCAGATGGCTGTGTGTTCTGTTTCGGCCATGCCAAGCTGGGTGAGTGAAAGCCTGACCTCTTGTGCTGCTCATTAGGTTTCTGGTTCTCATTCGCGCTTCAGAGTCCTCTATGACAGGAAGGGATAGGTTCTCTTTTGGTGCCAAAGTGAACTGTAACGAACAACCATGCCTGGCTTTGAAGCAAGTGTTGGTCTTATCCACATAGAATAGCCTCAAGCCCGGGGGGGGGGGGATGGAGTAACATCCAGAAAGTAAGCTGGAAAGGTGCTCATGTCCTGAACAGGGGGTGCCTGGGAGGCAGATTCAGGTGGGTGGAGCCCATGGGGGAATCTCCCAGTAGAGCCCAACATGGGAGACTCAAACCAAAGGATCAGCCAACCTCCCCCTCAACAGTCCATTTCCAGCGAGGACCTGTGCTCACTCCCCCACCCCCCGACAGGCCTTGTCTCACATACAGAATGAGTTAGCAATCTGGGAAGCTCAAAAAAGCACTCCTTGGTAGAGATCCTCCCAGAGGCCTTGCAGAGGCCCCAGAAGGCCATCCCCGGTCACAGAGAGCCCATTACATCCCCACCCCCACGGCTTTCTTCGATTCTTGATCACAGACCAAAGCAGGGGTCCTGATTTTAATGGAATTTGCTCGTGCTATTAAAAATATATACACAGCATTTAACTTGAGAAAGGATATAAAGCACACGTGTGTGGATTTAATCTGTGGGGTGGCTATAAAAAGGACTGTAATCATGATGAAAAGCCCCAGCTTCCTACCTCATGTAGAACAATGCAGAAAGCAGATAGCCTGTGATGTCTGAGGTCCTCTGCAAGGTACCTTGTGGTTTCGCCCTGTCATTTGTTTGGGCTCTCACATTTTTTTTATAGCTGTTTCATCAGCAGCATAAGGAAATGTTTGCCTTTTTTTTTCCCCCTGGTCTTTTCATTCTTTCGCTTGCCTTCTTTCCACTCCCTCCACGCCTTCCGTCTGTGCCCTGAGCGTCTGTGTTTTCAGGCTCTGGAGAGTGATGTTTGGCCACTCCAGCTGTGTTTCTTGCTCCCCCCGGCTCCCACAGGGAAATCCTACACCATGGTTGGAAAGGATGACTCTATGCAGAACCTGGGCATTATCCCGTGCGCCATTTCTTGGCTGTTCAAGCTCATCAATGAGCGCAAGGAGAAGACTGGGGCCCGCTTCTCCGTCCGGATCTCGGCTGTTGAGGTGTGGGGGAAGGAGGAGAACCTCCGAGACCTGCTATCTGAGGTGGCCACGGGCAGCCTACAGGATGGACAGTCCCCAGGCGTGTACCTCTGTGAGGACCCCATCTGTGGCACACAGGTGACTGCCTCGGAAGCATGACTTGGGTTGGGGTGGTTCCTCTCTGTTTCGGAGACTGGGGTGCATCAGCCCTGGAATCACTTCCCGTGTAAACTGGAAAGGCTTATGACTGTTTACTTTAAAGGACTGGAACTTTATGGCCTGCAGCTGTGGGGCCATCTGCTCGCCCAACCTAAATATTTGCACCTTGAATCTAATTGACACTGAGCAGGGGCTACAATTGTCATAGCATTGGGGGCGGGGGGGGGGGATGTGTGGAAATTGAATCCACTTTCTCGATGCCTCGTTCAAGAAAGAAAAAAAAAGCACAATCTTTCTTTTGTTTAACAACAAACTGAAATATTTACTGCTCTGCTGCAGCCTTTACTGGGGCTGTTTATGGCTCTATAAACTGTTTCGGGCACTGCTTTACAGCCGGATTAGCAGTGCTGCGGGGAAAACTAATAACCGATTTCTAATTAGAACTGTGATATAATTGCTAGGACCGTGGAAGCCAAGAGAAGCTCTTGTTTGCCTTTTCAGGAAGTTGGGTCTCTCATGAGTGTTTTCCCTTTGCTGTTTACCACAGGGATGACTCCAGGGCTCCCCTGGTTTATATCCAGAAATCAGTTCTGCCAGTCTTCTGTGTTAGGCTTCCCCAAATGCCTCCTGTTTTAGATAGGTGTCTCAGATAAGTACCGATTTCCACTAGCTGGTTCATCTCTGCGGGTAAGGATGCACAGAGTCAGTATTATACCCATTTCTCGAAGCCTGGCCCTGCTCAGCCTCTGCTCAGGGTGCCCAGACCCTTCCAGTTTCCTGTAGACATCTCTGCAGTATGCTCCAGAGTTGCCTGGAGGACTTGTTAAAACTGCTCACTGGGCCCCTTCCCAAGGGACTCTGATTTCACTTGGGGTAAAGCTCACTGCCCTGCAATGTGCATTTCTATAAAGATCTATAAAGATGCCAGGAGAAGTCACTCTGAAGTATATAACATATGCTCAGCTGGGACTAGAGAGATGGCTCAAAGGTTAAGAGCGCTGGCTGCTCTTCCAGAGTTCCTGAGTTCAATTCCCAGTCACCATATGGTGGCTCATTACCATCTAGAATGAGAGCTGGTGCCCTCTTCCACTGTGCAGGCATACATGTAGGCAGAATATTATATACATAATAAATAAATAAATAAATAAATAAATAAATAAATAAATAAATAAATAGATAGATAGATAGATAGATAAATAAATAGATAAATAAATAAATATTTTGTTTTGTTTTGTTTTTAAAAAACAATATGCTCAGCTGTGGTTGATTGCATGGCCTCCATGGTAGAAACAGGAGTACCCTGGCTGCCAATCCTGCTTGGCAAGCTTACAAGCTTGGCGCGGCTTTCAATTTGTTAACTTTGGTTCATTTTTGAGTCTACTAACAAAGGTTCTCTTAAGTAAAGATCTGTTTAACTGAAGGCAAATAAGATGAAGAAAGTAATGTTCTCTTGAAACTCTTCTTTAAAATGACTATAATTCTTTAGTTTAAGTCAATAGTAAGTTCAAAAACACACATCCGATAATATCCCTTGGAACTTCGAGGATTTTAAAGATGGTCTTAGCCTGCAAATCCTGCCTGCACCAAATATTGCTTCCCACAGTTTGAAATTATAGGTATGGTTGAAGTCAGAGTAGAAAATTGTCATAATTTGTACCAACCCAAAGACATGTTGCAAATCAGTTCTTTGAAAAGTCAAAGCTAAATCAGGCACGCACCTGTCGTGGCATTCAGATTGCTAAGGAGAGGAGATGGGGAAGCTGAAGAAGAGCAAGGACTTGTCTCAACAAGACAAAGAAGCGGGTTTCCTTTCTACCACAAAAACGAGTGCTGGGATTGAGACCCAGGGTCCTCCCAAGAGTTAGACACTGCGGCTTTTCTGACTACTTGTGAGTTCTCCCTGAGCATCAATTCAGGAGCGAACGCAAAAAACAGATGTCTCTTAAATAAGATGAGATCTCCGAGTGTGTTTCTACGTGGCTTTCAGGCATTGCTCTGCTGTTATGATAAAATGCCCTACCGCGAGCAGCTTGACAGAGAAAGCCTTTATTATGGCTCACAGTTGTAGGGAACAGGCCCTCACCACGGCAGCAGAGGCCTGAAGCAGCTGGCCGCATCCCAGTCACAGTCTGGAAGCAGGAGTGAAAGAATGTCTGCTGGAGCTGAGTGCCATTTCTGCACTTACACGACCTAGGATCCCAGCCAAGGAATGGTGCTGGCCGCAGTGGGCAGGCCTCCCCAACTCAGTCATACGATTAAGATAATCCAACATATCCACAGGCCCACTGCCCAAGTGACCTGAGATTCTGTCAAGTTGACAGTGGTCAGTAACCATTATACATGTACTTCTTGTTCATAACTATGTTAGTAAATGTGACCCCGAATTCGCTTTTATTAAATAACTGAGAAATCGGAAATGAACACAAGGCAAGTTACTCCCTTGTCATCTGTAAAACCATATTTCCCAGCTCCCGTCTCCAATATAATCTCTAAGGTCAAGACCTAGTCACATCTCTCATGTTAGAGGGTAAATGCTCCAGGATGTTTATAAGATGAGCACTATCCCCCCAGTACAGCCTCTTGATAGCTATAAAATAGCTAAAACCCAGTTACATCAATTAAATATGGACAATACTGGTTTTCAAAAAAAAAAATTTTAACTAAGCTGGCTTGCCTCAGCCATTAAAGTACTAGCCACAAAAGCTTGAGGAGTAGAGTTCAGATTCTCAGAATCCATGTAAATGCTGGGTGCCTGTGACAGCCTGCCTGTCTAGCTACAGTCTAGCCTGTAGCACAGTGGTGCTCCACCTTCCTAACGCTGAGCCCCTTTAATACAGTTCCTCATGTTGTGGGGACCCCCAACCATGAAATTATTTTTCTTGCTATTTTGTAACTAGAGTTTTGCTACTGTTGTGAATCATAAGGCATCTGTGTTTTACGGTGGTCTTCGGCCACCTCTGTGAAAGGGTCACTTGATCCCCAAGGAATCTCAACGCATAGGTTGAGAGCTGCTGCTCTAAAGAGAGACTGGGGAATCTACGGAGCAGGCTGGCCAAGGAACTACACCTGGCATTCTAGGATCCACTGAGAGGCCCCGCCACAAAGAACAATCAGAGATAATTCCCAGTGCCGACCTCAGGCCTCCACAGGCACCCAAGCGTGCCCACACACATGCAGACATGCGCGCACATACATGCATCCCACACCTAAAGGAAAAATGGCAAAGGAAAACCAAACGACTAAGCTGAGAATGGTCCATGTGTACAGCCGGTGGCAGGGAGACTCCTGACCCTACAGATGGACGGAGCCTCAGCCCCCAGGGCAGGAGGGAATCCTGATGCCTCAGTTCTTACCTTTTCTCCCGCAGCTGCAGAACCAGAGCGAGCTGCGGGCCCCCACCGCGGAGAAAGCTGCCTTCTTCCTGGATGCTGCCATCGCCTCGAGGCGAAGCAACCAACAAGACTGTGATGAGGATGATCACCGGAACTCTCACATGCTCTTCACCCTGCACATCTACCAGTACCGGATGGAGAAGAGTGGGAAGGGCGGAAGTAAGTCCGCCTTAGCCAGCTCCAGCACTAGCCCTGGCCAGCCAGCACCCCTCACCTAAGGCTGCAGCACCTTCCCTTAGCAGAAGGGGTGGAACCCACTTGCAACTCAGCGGTCTGGAGTTCAAGATAAGTGTGCAGATTGTAGGCTCAAGTTCACTTTTGAGATGTACAGGAACACAGGGTTAGCTTTGGCGATGATAACTTACAAATGGCATTGGCCTAGGTGTGTGAAGGAATGAATCAAAAAAGAAAAACAGCGGTTGAACACTTTTTTTTTTCTGTTCACAAACCTACTGTATTAGTCAGGGTTCCCTAGAGTAACAGGACCTACAGAATGACTCTCTGTGTGGGGGAGTGCCGGTGGGGATTGTAGGTCTTCCTGCCTCAAAGATCCAGATTAGAAGCAGATCTTTTCACTTCCAGTTAATCAGAAATCCCTCTGAGGTGTGCCGTCTACTTTTGCGTTTTAGTTAATTCCAGATGCAGTCAAGTTGACAACCAAGACTAGCCATCACGCCACCAAAACCAACAGTCAGCCTCTGGAGCCCCTCCCAATGTGCCATTTATCTCTGTGTTGAGTCCACCCCACAGGCTCAGAAGCAACAGTCATGTTTCTGAATAGTTTACAAATCATACTTTGAAAGAACTGCCAGATGGGGGCTGTTTGCTTCCATGTTGCCTGTATAGAAGCAGGCACAGTACTTGCTCTGTGACAAAGCCACACTGCTAGACCCGCTCTGCTCATGGTCCCAGCCCGGCTCTTTCCTCAAAGCTAGGGCTGGACTTGAAGCAGTTCCCCATTGTTGCCTTTCAGCAGTGTGCGCTCCAGGCCCACCAGAGGTGGTTCCAGCTCTTAACTGAATTCCTCTGTATGAGGATCTTGATCCAGGGGCCACGTAGGCTGTTGATTCACTAGGCTTTCTGATAAGACCTAAGTGACAGGGCTGGCAAGGCTTGAAATCCTAAGAAGAGGCCATTGACAGCCCTATTCCAAAGAAAATCTGAAATGAAAACATCCAAGTCACACCTAGTTTCTCCTTAAGTGTCCTTGCTGCCCCAAAGACCTACAACATGTTCCTGAAGATAGTCGTCTGGGCTTTCTGATGTCCTCAACTGGAAAAATCTTTCCCATCCCACTGACCTGATTTCTCCTACCCTGCCTACTCCCTAGAGTCTGAAGGCCTGCCTGCTTGCTTTCATTGTTGTTTTGCTTTTCTGAAATGATGTCTCCCCTCAAGTTCACAGTCTTCCTGCCTCAGCCTCCAGAGTGCTGGCTTGGCATTGCTGCAGTGTGCCTAACAATGCACAACTTAGCGACTGTGTCTTAGAGTCTTAGATGCAGGTTCATTGAGGAATCATTTGTAGGAATAATTTGTATCCAGTGGAATTTCCCCTCTTTTGTGGTTTCAGATGAGTTTTGGCAAATCCATACAGCTTTGTAACCAGGATAATCCAAGGTGATATGGGTAGCCCAGAAAGTTCTCTTTGCTCTTTATAGTCAGCCCTTAACTCACCTCTAGTCCCTGGCAAGCACTGATCTGTTTCTTTCTGTTTGACCTTTACCAGAATAATGTGTGAATCAAACCTGTGGCCCAAATGGGTCCCTTTGCTATTGGCTTCTTTCACTTAACACAGTGTCCTAGAGTGCTGTTTCTCTAACTTATGTATCTCTGTTCACCTATCTTCCTTATTCTTTGCTCATTTTGTTTTGATTGGCCCTAGGGACCTGCCTCCCACCCCCACCATAGGGAATGAATGAAAATAGCCCTCAGTCTGGGGCTGGGGTTCCACTAGCCAAGGCCAACTGTAAAGATCTGGGAAGCAGATGGAATAGTCCCCCAGGAGTCTAGGGACCCTGGCTGTCACTTGTCACTCTGAGAGCCACTGTTAGCCTAACATCAGATCTCCCTGAGTGAAGATTTGGCTGGGGAGAACAGCAGGACATGTTGAATGGGAATCTTTTAAAGGACAATAGTTCTCAAAGGGGAGTTCACACCATGTCAAACATAACATTCTTGAGGCCGGAAACAGGAATTAGGACGCGTCTGAGAGATCTAGAGCTGAACTGTGCTCCTGTCTTCCAGCAGTCCTGGGAGCTCCTGTCTTCCAGCAGTCCTGGGAGCTGGCTGTAAGTCCCACCCCGGATGCTTTTTCTGGGTAGTGTCTGAGCAGAGTAGATGTGAGAATTGGAACACTGTTTACTTAAGTAATTTAAACAGCTGTCAATAGTAATAGCCATCACAGCCTTTCATGGTCAGAAAAGGGAACTCCCAGCAGCTCCGAGGCCTAAGACAAGAGTTCCCAAAGGCATCAAGCAGAGAGTCCCAAAGTGTCCAGCGATGTCCTTCTGAATTGTACAGCAACCCAGAAACTCTCTTTTGGCCTTTCAATTTTTATTTCTTGGTTTTATCTGCAGCTTGGAATCTGAAAACAGAAACAAACAATGAAAATAAGGAAAGATCTCACTGAAGTACTTCAAATGTAAAAATTTGAATTTCTGACTCCACATCAATTTAAAGGAACATTCTCTAAAACTGATGACATGCTCCCAAGTTGGTCCTACTGAATTCTGAGCACTTTTAAAATATTTAACATCCAACTCATCTTTTTTTATTTTTGAGTTGTGCATGAAAATTGCTTTTTAAATAATAAATTCAGGCGAAAGGAAAAGGCAGATGCCACCAGTGGCTTCCAAACCTCTCAGGTTCTGTCAGGCATCCAGCAAACTAGATGAGAGAAGAGGAGGGTCCAGGCTGCTGAGGGCAAAGGGCAAGCCCCTCCCACCTGCCAGGGCCCCAGCATCTCAGAGGCAAAGGATCAGACCTGACCTTTGGGCCCAGCAGGGTTTCAGTGGATTTATGTGGCTAACCCATAATGAGAAGATTTGGAGTGTTGTTTAAAATGGAAATCTTGTTTACTTATATATAAGTTATAATCCCTGTGGACTTGGCAGCCAGAACTCAATTAAGGGAAGGTTTATTAATTAGTCACCCTGCGGGGAAGCAGGAAGCAGAGCTGTTAACCAACTGGGAGAGGCTTAGCCTGATAAAGCATTCAGGGTTAATCTCTGCTGCAAGAACTAAATACATAGTGTATATATGTGCCCCGAATCTTAGGCCCATTTATGCATTGTATGTACACACACACACACACACACACACACACACACATTCTCTCTCGAGCTCTCTCTCCTAGACAGGTAGATAGCTTACTTAAAGGTTCTTGTCAAGACAGAAAAGAACATTCTTTGTCAGTGTATCCATGTGTTGCAGATAGCATCAGGTTGGGTTTAAAATGGCTCCCCAGTTGCCAAGGCTTCTGGGATATTAGCAGAGTTGGTTCTCCCCATTCATAAGTCCTCACTGTTAAGTCTATAAGGGCTTGCAGGCTCTTTGCAAAGTAAACACTGGGGAGAGATGCCCAGATGAGCAAGGGCTGCTCCCCACAGCCGTACCGTGTTGCTTCAGGGAGGTGAGCCGGTGAGGCCAGTTTTCCTCGTCCTCTTGATAAGCCTGGGCTTTAAAAGCATTCCTTGATGGGCTGGTGAGACGGCTCAGCAGGTAAAAGTGCTTATCACACGACCCTGATGACTCGAGTTCCATCCCAAGAAATCATGGTGCAAGGGAGAGATGATTCTACACACGCACATACCTGTACTCCCAACACACGTCATGCACGCACATAATAATAATAGTTGATGATTTCAAAGCATCTCTGTGACTAACAGTGCAGATGTCCCATCTCCACCGACAGCTGACACTGGGCCTCCGATGTGTTCACTCACCTTGCTTCCTCCTTGGGAAGCATCGTGGTGTAGGCTGTCCATATACACATGGCTGGGGGAACATGTACGTGGGTGGGCATCCGTGCCTGCACTCACCTGGCGACAAGTCTGATCGGACAGTTTCCTCTATCTTGGCTTTCTGGTGGTGCTCAAACACTCTTTACAAAGGCTTTGGAATGTCCTGAATCAGCCATGTCCTAGCCTGGCTGTACAGTTTACCGAGCTGGAAGGATCCCGTCTGCTCGGCAGATGTGCTTCTAAAAGGGGAGAGCCTCCTTACTGTCCCCAGCAGCAAAGCCCTGGGCAGGAAGGTAGACGCGCACTGCAGGAGTCCCCGGTCACGGTCAATTATGACGTGATGCCACCAGCTCTGTGCTTGCATTTTTAATCTCGCCCTCCATCACCTCAGGATGGAGGGAAGGGAAAGAAACAGTAACAGGGAAGGGTCTCAATCCTACTTCCTCCATAAGCTGCCTCCTCTCTACAGCCTCCCAGACTGTCCCGTCTACATATTTTTCTCCTTAGAACCGCATTGCAGCTTTTGTCCTATTCAGCCTTATATTTTTAATCTCCCATGCTTGTTGGGTTCCACCAGACTAAGTATTTCCTGAGAACAGGAGCTCTGATTCTCACTCACCTTGAGTCTCTGTGGTGCTGGTCTGTGCCTGCATGTCACTGCTCAGTACCTGTGAATTATATTCATCGGAATGTGAGCTCTGTTTTGTTCCTGACTTTCTCTACCATGTAGTACAGCTAGTTTTGGAGAGCAAGACCAACTTGTTTGGATTTTGAATTGCCTAGGGGATTAGTAATGCACTCCTCCAAGTATGCATGTAAGGGCTATTCCAGAGATGATAGATGCTGCTGAGGGCTCTGATCTAATGAGAGGTTTAATGCCTTGACTCAGAACATGGATAGACTCTTCAGAGGTGGTAGAAATCAAAGCAGGGCCTCAGTGGGAGAAGCAGTGTGCTAGGGACCATAGCCCTCAAGGGTAGAACTTGGCCCTAGCCTCTGCCTGTTTCTTTATGCTTCCCGGCTGCTATGGAGAGAGCAGTCTTCCTCCATTATACATTCTCACCTCCAGGATGCTCAGCCTTCCCCATGTTGGGGCTAGGTGACGTGGGCTGTCACCTATGAAACTGAGCCAAAATTCATTCTTCTACCTTTTGGCCATCTGTCCCAGGGTGCAAACCACCCTCATGCAAGCTGATGCTACGGATGTACCACACTACCAGAAGTTGGGCAGTTCCCAGGGAAAGTCCAGTAAAGACAGGAATTATATCAAATGATACATTCATGTAACAAATGTGTATTTATCCATTGATCTTAGGGGCACGCAGCATGGATGTCCCTTAGAGATGAGTTTTCAACTTCAAGTTCTAAGTTTCATGAACAGTACTGATTTTAATGGCTTTACTTTAATTTCTTCAAAGAGATTCAAGATCTTAAAAGACCCATTTGCTGCCAACTGGATATAGCCCTTTTCTGCTCCTTTTCATTTTTCAACTCTGGTTTCTCATGTACATCTGATTTAACTTGACTCTGTTCTTTAAGAGACCTTCCCAAAACATTAAATTTAATTTATACATAACTGATCAAACTTCTTACAAAATAACATTTTATTGGTTCGTGTGTTGTTTGTATTTTAGTAGCATAATAAATGCAAGCGTCATAAATTGCTGATCTACTGCTAGATAGACGGAGCATCTTTTTGGAACAAAGTCACCTAGTCAAAGCCACCCCGTGCGTTTGGCATGCTGGGGTTGTCAGTTGGTATCTTAACGGAGGCAATGGAGAGCGTGGCTAGCTCAGCCAGGTGGGGGGACTGTGCAGCTCACGGCAGTGGTCTGGAGAACAGAATCCCGGTGCTGATGCTGTACTTGAGTCCAGTTAAATGAGAAGGCCTGGGAGTGGAAGGCAGGCAAGGACAGCTCTTTGAAGGTCCCAGGTGGTCCCAGGATGCTGCCAAATTGGAAGCCATGTGGTTGCAAGATGAGTGTAAGATGCTGCGTGTTGTTCGTTCTGGGTTTCCATCCGACTCAGCATCAATTTTCAGTGAAATCGTGCATGATTTTTTTTTTCTTCCAGCATGTATGGGCCTCAGTTTTCTCATCTACAGTTTCAGCCCAATTTATGCACAATGTAGGCATTACGTGATATTAGGAGAATTTAGTATTTCCCAGGAACTACCAGGTACTCAATACAGTGAGATGCAGAAATAGATAAAATTAGTATATTGCTCCCTGTGGGGAAAATAAGTTATGTGTGTAATTTGGTTTGGTCCAACTCTAGACATAAATATAAATAAAGAATTTTGGGCTGAGGTGTTGCTAAGTTGGAAGATTGCTTGCCTAGCATGCAGGAAGCCCAAAGTTTGACCCCTGGCAGTGCATGGACTGGGCGTGGTGACACTGTGGAGACAGAGACAGGCATCAGGAGTTCAGAATCATCCTCAGCAACATAGCAAGTTCAAGGCCAGCCTGAGATTTGTGAGACCGTCTCTTTTTAGAAAAAAAAAAAATGCTCAAAATGGATTGGACTATGTTCCTTTAACTCTTATGTCCTTGATCTTAGAAATCTGATAAGTGAGGAGCCGACTTCTTACCTGTAGCAATAATCATCCCTTTTGCTCATTTGTTACAGAATGACTTTCTCCCTAGCCAGTTGTGGTGATGTGAGTTCTTGACACTATCAAACAGCCTGTGCTCACTGACTTCCCTCCCTTCTAGATTAAGCACCATTTGTGAAAGCCAGATTCTCTGACCACCCAAACACCAGTGGGTAGAGGGCAGAGAGCAGCTTTTTCCATTGTGTAAGGGTGCCTCTCATTCTGAGTCATGCTGGTAATTACAGGTATTTTATAAAACTCTTCAACACAATCTAAGCCACCTTTTGTTCTGTGTGTTCTATTTTACTATGTGTACATTGTAAATTTGATTCCATTACATCAAATGGACTATTAAGTCTGGAAGTCCAAATTGGTCTCTGTCTTTGCCCTTTCATCTGAGATGTGTGAGGAATGCCTAAGCCTTTCCTGTCTATATAATTGAGCTGCCAAACAGAAGATATTTTGTTTAAAAATAACTGTTTCCCTAGCACATTGCCATGAGCCAATCTCACATGATTTGAAATAGGATAGAAGAGAAATAATATGGCTTCCCTTAGAAGGGGTTGCCTCTAGGTTGAAAATATGCAAAATGAACTTCATTCGTGTCTAAAGTGTGGGACCGAGGTGGAGAAGCTGACGGGCTGAGCCGAGGTGCTATGCTTCCTAGAATGTTCCCGGCCAGCAGCAGGTATGGGAAGTGAGGCCTCCCAGATGGTCCCCAAAGTTCTCTTCTGACGGCAAGTCTAAACCTTGCCCTCAGAAATAGGATAGACAGAAAATCTATACCTCTTCCTGCAGGTGTTCAGGTACCCAGAAGTGTATGCCCGGGTTCCCTTACATGAAGCCAGCGTGTTGGGGCAGGTGTGGGGAGCAAATGCATGTATGCATACACGCCCCTGCACGTGCATGGAGAAGCCAAAGGAACATGTCCCACGTCCTCCTCCATTGCTCTCTGCCCCGCTCCCTTGAGACAGGGCCTCTCTCACTGACCCTGAAGCTCACCATTTCAGTTGGTCTGGCTTGTCAGAGAGCTGCTGGTCTCCACCCTGCCCCACCCCAGCTGCTGGACCTACAGGCTTCTTCTGAGCCTGCTTCTGATGCAAACCCAGGTCTTCATGTTTGCACAGCAAGTGTTCTCACCCACTGGGCCACTTCCCAGAAAAAAAAATGTATTTATTTCCCCTTTGTCTTGTAATGATACTTTTTCTGGATGTTGATGGCTCATTTGACGATTTTTTAATCTTTCAAAAATGTTGGCTGTACTATCTTCTTATTTCTGAGGAGAAATCGGCCATCATACTTACCTCTGTTCCTTTGTATGGAATCTGTTTTTGCTCTTGGGGCTGATTTTCTCTTCTGCTCTGAGCAGTGCAATTACTGTCTGCTTCGTTGGGTTTGTTCATTTTTCTTGTTCCTGGGGCTGAATGAGCCCCAGGATTTTTAGATTTGTAGGCTGATAGTTTTCATCATTTGAGAAAAGTTGGGGCCATTATTTATTCAAATACTACCTCCGTGTCACAGTCTGGAAATCCAACCATGTGTATCTTAGACACCTGAGGTTGCTCGGTAACCCTTTCGGTTCCCTACCTCTCTCTTCCCTTTCCTCTTTCCCCTCCTCCTCTCATTCTTTGCATTGGTTGTTTACTTTTATGTTTTTTTCTATTTTTTCAAAGATTTATATTGATTTATTGTCAAATTTACTGATCTTTTCTTTTGCTAATGTGTAAGCTGCCGTATACTCCCAGATGTAATTCCATCTTTGTTTTTAATCTCTTAGATCATTGTATACACTTTTATTTTAATTGACATGGATGCTGTTATGCAGCTCAGGGTGGCCCTGTCTCTTCTTAAGCATTTGAACATTGACACAGAATGGCAGTAACGGCTTCTCATTGCCTTCTCTTGTGGATTCTAATAGCTCTGCTTTTCTGGGCTTATTTCAAATCTTTCTTCATTGGGGACATCATCCACCTGCTTCTTTCTGTGCTCATTTATCTCTTCCCATGAACTTTCAGATTTTCCCGATGTGACTGTTGGAAGCAGACACCCCTGGCCTAGCAGCTTCCTCATGTGCACCTGCTGATGAGCATTCAGTGAAATCTTCCAGAGACTGCCTGCAAATTCCCTACTTCCGTCCTTTCTATCATTCCATCCTGCACATGGCTGCTGCCCTGTTTTCCCTAGGCTTTGGATTCTGTCTTTCCTGAGCTCAGTGGCTCCACCGGATTCAACCTGGGTTCTTGGCCCGGAGCCTGGGAACTTTCTCAGCACAGTTAGCAGAAAGACACGCCAGGAGTGTTTGTCTGATTTGTCTCATGTGCCTCAAGAATCACTCTCTGTTGTCTAATGTCTCGTGTCTTAAAAAAAGCAGCTCTTTTATACATTCTGTTTATTTTGGGTTGTTTTGGATATAAAACTCAGTCTAGTCCCTGTTACTTCACTGCAGCCAGAATTGGTGGGTGAAATGCTTAACTTTTCTGAACTTTAATTTTCTCCCCTACAAGAAGAAGGTGAGGGTGTTTGGAGGATTCTGTGTGGGATCTGGATGAGATGAATGTCTGTGCACCTGGCAACTGGCAGGCACTCGGCGAATAGTTAGGTCTTCCCTGCCTTTGCACCTGGATCTCTCATCTTCCAGATTTTCCTGGAGTTACCAGCCTGATTCCTGGCTGAGCTTTAGGTTGGCCGCCTGACAATCACAAACCAGAATAGATAACCACACGTGAGCTTTCAACTTAGTCAGCTTCAGAACACTGCTCTCTGGGAACAGTCGGTTAAGTTCCTTGCCCTCCTTATATGAACCCTTTGATCTACAGGAATGAGTCCTTATTTGTGAGATCAATGGCAACAGGTTTTAGGAGTCTTGTGGTATGTGGAGGACAAAAGACTTCCTTCACTCGGCTTGTTTGTGTCACCAAATGTTTATCTCCTCCTTTCCCTGAGATCCCCAAAGAGCCGCCTGAAGAAGAGAAAATGCATTGCCCAGAACTTACCTGTTCTCCTCCTTTTTTTTTTTTTCTCTTGTGTCTTCCCGCTGCCAGTGTCTGGGGGTCGCAGCCGCCTACATCTCATCGATCTTGGCAGTTGTGTGAAAGCTCTCAGCAAAAACCGAGAAGGAGGCTCGGGGCTGTGCCTCTCACTGTCCGCTCTGGGCAATGTCATCCTGGCCCTGGTCAACGGGAGCAAGCACATCCCATACAAGTAAGTGACTCTGAGTGCAAGGCAAGATGGCGCGAGCATAGAGTCGGGAGTGGGTCTCTCCAGGAAGGCTGCCCTGGGAGAGGCTCGGCCAAGGCTCAGTCTGGACCGGGTTATGGGTTCAGAGATTAGCTTTAGCCAGTGATGGTGTAATGTATCATCTTCGAAAATGGAAGGTGTTGCAGATACTTAACTCTGGCACAGTCCTAATTCAAGGCCTCTGAGACAAAACAGAAAACTATTTCAACAGAGACCCCCCCCCCCATAGGTGGGCTGCTGTCTGTACCACATCAGTGGCTCTGTGTTGCAAGCAGTGACCAAAGAGGAATGGGGCAGCCAGATTAAAGATGCAAGAGTCCAGCTCATTAGATGTGAATTTCAGATAGGCAGAAAATACCCTGTTGTTTAAATAAGACCCCTTTACTATCACATGGCTGTCACAGGATCCTGTGTGTCACCTGGCATCCTTACTTAGGGGGACCCAGGGGGTCGTGGTGTTGCTATGTCTCATCCGGTGGAAATGTTTACTCCATAGCCAGGCTCCTTCCCTTCTTACCATTACTGCTCCAGGAAGATAGAGTCAGAGTTCCTGCCATTTCTAGTACACTCTAAGCATGCCATGTCATCAATGCTTATGAGTGGCCCAGTCTCGCTCAACCTCAGCACCACTGGCTGGCTCAGCTGGGTCTCTTATTGGCTATAGGAACCTCCACTCGCTCTATTACATATGCATCCTAGGGAAATAAGATGCAGAATAGGTGTGTTTTTTTTTTTTTTTTAAATCTAGAAGGCTGTCATTCCCCACCAGGGAATCATCCTGGGATCCTGGGGGCTTACCTGGTAGTTATAATTTAAGAAGTTGTGCCCCTTCTTGAAAGTTGGTATCCCAGTTACATGTGCCCTCACATGCCCTTTTAAGGACCATTTCCTGTGAGAGAACAATTTCAAGATGAGGGTTTATCGAGTTTCATCTTCTGTGATTTTCTACCGTGAAATAACTGGGAACATTGGGCACTGGCAAAGGCAAAGGTTATTGAGCAGCAGATCTTCCAAAGACAAGAGCTATGGGGCCTGGTTGACTTCCAGGAAAACTGAGAATCATGTCTTTGAACATGCTAACTTCCTGGGCCATCATGTAGATACAGTTTAAAACGTTACCTTGCTATGGGGCTAGGTAGTAGATCACTCCTGTTTTATTCCTAAAGAGTGGCCTGCCTTCATGATTTTAGTAAATATTTGTCTGTTTGAATTGCTGAACTGATGTGTGAGGGCTGATAAATATAAGCATATGTAATTTTTTTTCCCATTGGGTAAAGTGACTTCCTTCTGGTTATAGTTTGGTTTCATCGTATACAAATAGGGAAACACTATGAGTTGTTTTTATTACTAGCTCAAGGTTTCTTGTTAGATTAAACACATTTTTAACATCCGCTTGTCCGAACGGCCAGCCACCTGCCCTCTTGGGAAAGATGATAAGTAGAATGTCACCTTCAGACATCCTTGTGCTTGAATCCAGGAGTCCCTCCCTAACACTTGGGCCACACAGGTAATGAGCAAAATGTTTATATTGTATGTAAACACAGACTTAACATAAATGTTGTGTCTTCGTGAGCCTGTGTCAAGAAGCGTCTCCCTGACCTTAACAGCCATTAGCTGTGGACACAGACTGTTACCTTGGTCCTGCCTTACAAACCATCAGGAACTTGCTGAGCAGCCCACTGCTCAGTATCTGGAAGCATGGTGGCACAGCCAGCCATCTAATGAACAGGACATTTGTCCTGGAATCCTTTGGTCCATAATGACTGTCACAGTGCATGAGCTTTGTGGGACTTTCGCTCTGACCTTTTCTTAGATTCTCAGCCACAGCACAGACTTGGTATTTGTTGTCTGTGAATCTCATTTGCAAACTGATTGATTAATTGACTAGAAAGTATTCTCTTTCAGAACACAGGAAGGTGAGACAAAGATTTACTGAAATCTTCCCGGCCGTTGGTGACAAGATCTAACCATAGGCTTTTCCCAGTTTGGGAGATCTTGGTGAGGCCAGGTGGCTGGCTGGTCCCTGCTGCCTAAGCTCTGCCTAATACTGGCTGTCTCTACACAGCAGGGTGTTCAGCCCAGCAGGATGGTCCACAATCCCTTTATAAGACCAAAAAAAAAAAAAAAAAAAAAAGGATAAGATTAACTTGTGGGACCTTTTCTAGTCACCTGTTCCAACTCCCAAAAATTAAATGACACAAAGACCTATAGATTTATCAATAAACTTTAGGTTCTATAACCAGGCAGATATTATCTATTCTAATTCTCTATGTTAGTCTGGCTACTTCTCAGCCACACACCCGAGTTACTTGCCATATTGGTCCTGCCTGAGCTGTTTCTGCTCCATCAGGTCAGTTCTCCTCACCACATGCTTTCTCTACCTGAGATCCCTCACTGGCTCAGAAGTCTAGCCTTTCTATCTCCTCTGCCCAGTCATTGGCTGTTTAGCTTCTTTATTAACCAATCAGAGATATGTGGGGAGAAAAGTTTACACTACAGTGATCAATGAATGTGACAATGCCCATGTCCAGGCTGCAACCAGATCTTGGGGCATGAATTCTGAATGCACAGTGTTCGAGACCAACCCCCAGCAGACGACAGCTTGCTAGAGCCATGCTATGCCATATTATGTTAGCAGACTAAAACATTCTGGGCGTCAAGCCTTATCATTCCCTTGGCTCCCCAGGAAGGGTATGTTTCTTTGCTGCATGGTTTCCTGGTGTTCTTTCTAGTCACTTTCAGGGGGAAGAAAAAAAAATCCCATAAAATCAAACTTCATATTCTTTACCCTCCCCCATCTCTCTGAAACACAAGACCCACTGCTCATCATCTGTCACCCTAGACAACTGCTCAGAAGCTGCATTACTCGTACATGCTTCTGGGAAATTAACTGAAATGTGTGCAGAGGGAATATAGCCTGTCTCCATCTCTCTTCATCACTATACCGGACCATTTGTCATGTGAGCAAGCTGGAAAGTGAGTTGGGATTCATTACCCATCCCGGCTGCTCCCACAGGCACCCTCGAGGTACCCTGAATGGTTCTGACTCCTCTGGAGATGACAGGCACATGCGTGGAGTCCATTCCCCGCCTCAGCCATTATGAAGCACAGGCTGACTGGCCAATCCCAGTGCCATCCATTTATCAATCCTAAATGGTGATGCCATTCAGAAAAGCATAAGGGGTGGGGGAGGGGGAGACAGGGAGATCAGCAAGGGCACTAGTTCCCTAGTCAGCCACTCAATGACAAGAAGCACAAATTGCTCTTTTCTAACTCCGCAGAGTCTCACACCCAGGGAAATCTTGTTCTGAGGCTTCTGAGAGAGCATCTTTGCAAATTTCCTTCCAGGCTTATTCATTATAGTTGTCTGCTATTCCTCGCCACTTCCTGCACATGAAGGTGCTAGGAATCTCGACAAGTGACTGAGCAGGGAGAAAATGAGCAGAGGTATTGGCATGAATTCTCACGCCACAAACCAAGGTTCTAGGTGTCCACTTTTGAAGCTGGTCCCTGAGGAGCTACAGCAAGGGTCTGCCAGGGTGAACTTGGCTTCAGTAACGTGCTCTGATGTCCTGGCCCTTCAGACAGTCACAGACTTTGTAGAGACTCGGAAATTCTAGCCACAACCAAGTTCCCTACAAGGGCGCCTGATCCCTTTTAGGTATTGTCTTGTGATGGGTACAAGCCCTGAGAAAGCACGTCCTTCACAGTGACGCCTCAAGCCCCGAAGCCTGTAACTTTATTTATAACTGTCACTGCATTTGGAGAAACCATCCCTTGGATAAGCCACACAATCCAATGTGAACAAGGACTTGTTAGGGACCTCACCGAAGCCAAACCAGCATACCTGTGCTTTTTGCAAAATGATGAAGCTTTTTAAAGCTGACCGTTATACAGACAAGAGCTTTTGTTTTGTTTTGTTTTGTTTTTTTACAAATCTATGATTCTCCTTGATGGGTTGGCAGCTGGGAATGAATGTATGTATGTGAAGGGGAGGACAGACTGCTGTTGACTGGACAAGGAGGAGGGAGTTCTCAGGCCCAGAGGAGGGTCACTGTGGTTCCCCACTGGCCTTGCTCTGTTCTGGGGGTTATATTCTGCCTGGGAAGTTTGGGAACTTGCAATACACTAGGTCTTGCCCCGCTGAGCCTGCTGCTTCTGCACAGGTCCTCTCTCGAAAAGCTGCTTCCAAGCTGCCCTGGAATGAGTTCTGGAGGCTCTTCATGAAAGCCCTCTTAATCCTTTCGCTGTTTAAGGAATTTAGTCCTGAGGCCTCACATCTCTCTGCTCATCCACCAGCAGGGTGTTTGCACTCTGCTTCTAAACCGCAGATATGTATTTGCTAATGTCTGGACCCCCGTTTAATAAGGTCATGGAAAATCGTCCTGTGGCATTCTCCTGTTGTGTCTATTTCTGATGCTCTTCTCTGGCAGCTTGGGAAATGGTGCCACACAGCCACCTGCGATGTGAGTCCTGCCTAAGTTCCTCTGTCGTGGGTTTGGTTTGCGCTATGGCCTGAGGTCCCCATTTATTCCTGGTAGTCACGGGCGCTGTGCGCAGGCAGCTAGGCTCACTCGACTTTGCGACTTATGGTTGAATGGCTCCACCAGGCTTGAAATGCATCGGGGCCAGTCTCTCGCCAACCATCAGACTAATGGCAAGCACTCCAGGCAGCGTCTACCTCCAGAAGTCTCTATTTCACCAAAGTGCCAGAGCCTACCCAGCCTGGAGTGGGGAAGCTTGCCTCCTCAGGCTCAAGTGAGGTGAGGAACCAACATTACTTTAAGGCCATCAAAGCACCTGAGCACCGCAATCTGCTCAAACCAGCAGGTAGCACTAAAAACAAACTCAAGTCCTCGACTCAGGAGGTGGAGGGATGGGGTCTCCGCATAGAGGCGGCTTTTCCTGAAATGTTAACACCTCTCATTTGAAAAGCAGTGGGGTACAAATGCCTGCAGACAACA